TGGAGGGTATAAATAGGACTTGACAGAGTGACAGAAACAGAGCTAGGCTTGCTGGTACAGCTAGCTGTGCAACGCTTGGGACTCTTGTCTTCACTGATCTTCGCTTCCCTGAGAAAGGCACAGCTAAGAACTTCTTCTGGTGTTCCTGCTCGTCCCTCCTGCTGACTTCTTTTGAGGCTGAGGCCTGGCTGTCTCTGCTAGGTAGTGCCATTGCTACTGATTCATGTTTGCTATCCGACTACCAAACTGGACTGCTGGTGTGTCCTGAAGATATTTGCGAGTGATATTTGTGATATTTGGGGAACTATATTTGTGATATTTGTGATATTTGGGGAATTAGTAAAGTTTGTTTGTTTGTTTGTTTGTTTTGAGACAGGGTTTCTCAGTGTAGCCCTGGCTGTCCTGGAACTCACTCTGTAGACCAGGCTGGCCTCGAACTTAGAAATCTGCCTGCCTCTGCCTCCCAAGTGCTGGGATTAAAGGCGTGCGCCACCACCGCCCGGGTAGTAAAGTATTTTCATTGGGAAAATCATTTTAATCAGTGGATGAGGAAAAGTTAAGTGAGCAGTCCCCAGATGGAGAGGAAGGAAGTGAGTGAACCATAGACTTATTTGTGTAAACCGTTTATCCTTTTTTTTCTTTTTCCATTTCACCCTCCATCCTATCTTCTTCTCCGTTTTGGTTTTGTTTGTGGCACTGAGGAGTGGATTCAGTGCTAAACAATCTCTCTTCACCTCCACCCTCATTAATTTTTGAGACTACTCTTCATGTTTTTCTATGATAGGTTTTGTGCACCTGGAAAGGAAAAGGTCCTATGAGCACATATGTGACCTTGTCCCCACAGGAGAATATCAGATGATTTTGAAGAGAACAGAGAGAATGAGGAAAATGACACTGGTAATGGTAAGATGTAGCAGTGAAGATGGCCACCAAAACCTCCTTCCTATTTATTTTTTTTCCTTGCAAATCCAGAAGCCTCTACAGTGATCATGATCACTCAGTGGTGAGAAGTAGCTTCCAGCTAGAGTGTCACTTCATTTTATTCCTGTGCACCCCAGCCCTCCTCTTTCTGTGAAGCCTGGTCCACCTGGGACCTTATACATGCTAGGCAGCTGAGCTACACCCTCCTTCCTTATGTACATTTTTATTTATTTAGTGACAGGGTCTCACTACGTAGCCTGAGCAGGTTTGGAACTCACAGGGATCTACCTGCCTCTGCCTCCCATGTGGGATTAAATGCATATGCCACCATGCCTGGCCTGTATGTATTCTTGTATCTATAAATTTAAATATAACTCTGATGCTATAATGATCATAACAGTTATATGCTTATTGGGATCTCCAGTTCTCTTCCAGCATTTTAAACAAATAATTTTTTTGGTAAGGATTTATCCATTTTATGTTACGTGTGTGTTTCTGATCATTTGTATGTACACTATGTTTGTGCAAGTGATCACAGAGGCCAGAAGAGGACATTGTGTCTCCCAGAACTGAAGTCTCAGGTTCTCTGTAAGAAGAGTAAGTGCTCTTAATTTGGGGCCCATGTGTTCAGTCCTTATTTGATTTTTTTAATAGAACATTAAATTTTGTCTTTATTCTTTAGAGTTTCATACATGTACACAATGAGAAATGGTCCTATGTATTCCCATAAAAATATATGTATATTCTATTAAGTCCAGTTAGTGCAGCCCATATGGCCATGGGTGAGAAAAAATCCACTAGAACATGGGACTCTGGCAAGTGGCCTGATCCTCAAAAAAAGACTCTCCTTCCCTGAGCAACTATTAGCTACAACTAGTTCCTCAGTAAGGATAGACAGTTCTATATTAAACATCAAAGTGAACTAATTTATCCTGAATATGCAAGAGTGATCAAGAATATGCAAAGTAAAGAACAGCTGGCTCAGATGAAAAGTTAGACTTGTATATTCATTCTAGGAGATATTGGGAAGGAAATGGAGATGAAAACATTTATGGTAAAACTTTAAGATGATGAAATCATTAAGAAAAATTAAGAAAAAAATTACAGATTTTCTCAAATTTTGTAATCCATCATATGGGAAAAAATGGCTTCTTCTAATTTTCTTTCTTCCTTCTTTCTCTTTCAAGTAGGAAAAGATTTTGGCATTTCTGTCTTTGTTAGGGTTACTGTAGTGGTGATGAAACACCATGGTCAAAAGCAATTTGAGGAGGAAAGGGTTTATTTGGCTTACACTTCCACATCACTGTACATCACTGGAAGAAGTCAGAACAGGAACTTAACATCTGGAACCTGGAGGCAGGAGCTGATGTAGAAGCCTTAAGGAATGGCTTGCTCCCCATGGTTTGCTCAGCCTATGTCCTGGATAGTTTTGTGTCAATTTGACATAAGCTAGAGTTATCGAAGAGGGAGCCTCAGTTGAGAAAAGCTAGCACACTGACTTTATTGCTTTTTAAGGGTCTCTTAGTTTTAACTTTTATTTACATGTAGGATTGTGTGCCCGTTGGTGAGTATGTACATGTACATATGGGTAACACTGTGTCTTAGTCAGGGTTTTACTGCTGTGACCAGACACCATGATTAAGGCAATTCTCATAAGGACATTTTATTGGGGCTGGCTTACAGATTCAGAGGTTCAGTCCAGTATCATCAAGTCAGGAGCATGGCAGCATCTAGGCAGGCATCGTGCAGGAGTTGCTGAGAGTTCTACATCTTCATATGAAGGCCAATAGGAGAAGACTGGCTCCCATGTGATTAGGAAGAGGGTCTTAAAGCCATATCCACACTTCTTCCAACAAGGCCACACCTTCAAATAGTGCTGCTCTCTGGGCCAAGCATATTCTAAGTACCACAGGGTGTTAGATCCCCTGAAGCTGATTGTTGTGACCGTCAGGACAGGGTGCTGAGAATTTAATGCTGGTTCTCAAGAAGAGCAGCAAGTACTCTGAAATACTAAGTCATCTCTCTAGCATCCACTCTTCAGATTTACAGTTAGCAAAGAATGGGGTTGGGAAGAAAGGGAGGCCTTCTCAGTGCCTGAAGGCTAATAATATGCACCCATCAGAGCTAGAGATCCAACCTAGGGTCTCACTCAAGCTAAATAAGCTCTCTTCCATTAAATTAAACTCATAACTCTGTTTAAATATTTTGAAAGCATTAGTTTTTACATTGGTGAGGAAGTACAAGACATCCATAAGTTAGGTTTTTAAATATGAGTATGTCCTGAACTTTTCTGCTGACTGGACTGTTAGTGTTAGGATGCTTCCAGGGCCCCAGGTCAACTCCTAACTATTGGTAATGGGACCATATTCATATCGCTAAGTATTTCTTCTTGAATCAATTCTGACTGCTAATGTGGTTAGGAAAATGGCGTCTGTTACAGAAGTCAAAAGCCAAAAAATTTCAAACGTGCAGTTAACTTCAAATATAAGTCAACAGCCAGGCATGTATCAACCAGACTTAACATTGCACTTGCTAGCAAATGAAAGAGTAATTCTCAGCAAAATGACCATTATGTACACGAATGCTCACCAGTTATGCACAAATCTTTAAAATAATTTAATGAACGTTTTAACAGCGTACAAAGAAACAGGTTTCATTAAGACACACTCACACACATTAGTCATTGTTGTTCTACATGTTCCCCGCCCCCATCTTATCAGTTTTAATTTCAATCAGCTGCAGGTCATTGGCCAATCTGTCTTATGCCAGGAGGAAAAAAGTTGTAATTTATTTTAAGCTATTTGTTCCTTGAAAAATTGATACCTTAAAAAAATTGTCACCAAGTGGGGGCACAAGTCTTTAATTCCAGCAATGGAGATTATTTAAGGCCAGCCTAGTCTACAAATAAGACTTGTATGAAATGCCTGGGCTAAATAGTGAGACCCTGAGCACCACCTCACCCTCTGCCAAACAAACAAGTCAGAAATGTTTTGCCAAAATTGCATTACAGTGAAGACTCTCCAACCCCATTCTTCTGTACCTGCAAAACTAAAAAATGGGTGCTAAAGAGATGACTCAGAATTTCAGAGTACCTACCGCTCCTCTTGAGGACTAGAGTTAATCCTCAGCACCCTGTCCTGAGACTCACGACCATTAGCTTAAGAATGTTTACTTCTAGATCTAGGTTACCTTTGGGAGGCAGAGGGTTACGATGATCTAAATTAAAGAGTTACACGTCTGGCGTTATCACAATTTGGACAGAAATAGAGAAAGCCAACTCAGCTAAGGCCTCTCCAGAGGTCTTTGGATGGCTTAGAGAAGGGTAGCTTTCCAGTGTCACTCAGACTTTATGGGCGGGACTTCCAGCCTCTACTAAAGGGAAACGGCAAGTCTCGCTTGGCTTTTTTTTTTTTTTTTTTCTTTCATTGACCTTGAGCTATTCTACGTCACTTTTTCAGTCTTTGAAAGCCCGAGCCTGGAGAGGCGGTAGTCACCTGCCACAGGCCACCGCAAAAAAACGCAGAGCAAACAGAAAGGCTGCAATTAGCGCCTGGAGAGCTGGCGGTTTCTCGCTTAGGAATCTAGTAGGCCAGCGTCGGGATTCTAAGGAGCGCCCCGAGGTCAGCCAGACTGGGTCTCTCGGCCAGGAGGAGGGCGCTCACGGGGCGGAGCACAAGCACAGAGGCGTGGCCTGAGCGTGAGGCTTGATAGGAGTCTGGGGGCGTGGGTCAACCTCTGGGCGGATCCCAACCACGGGGGCGTGGCTCTGGCGGGGCGGGTCCGACCTCGGACCCCACCCCCGCGTCCTTTCTACCGCCCCCACAGAAGGAAAGGGAGAGGGACGGAGGGAGGGAAAGTTGTGTTCTGTGGAAAGGGGCGGAAGGAGGGGAAGGCCAAAAAGAAAAGGGAACAGAAACATGGCGGTCTGTGGTCGGGACAGTCGCGCCCCGGGCAGCGCCTAGACATCGGTCCTCCCGCAGCGCCCGCGGCCCGCGAGCCCCTCGGTCGGCAGTTGCCTTCTCTGCAGGCTGTGCCCCTGGAGACCCGGCCGAGCGGAGGCGCAGGCGCAGAGGGGCCACCGGAGTCCCGGCCCTGCCAGCGGAGGGTGCCCAGGCCGCGTAGCCGGCACTTTTTCTCACCCCAGGAAGCTACGGTGTCGGACAGTCGCCGACTGGGCCGGCGCAGGTGAGTCCGCACCGCCGCCCTGCATAATCTCTTCCTCGCCGCCAGGCCACTCAGGTAGCTTGCGGTACCGCGCCGGAGGAGGGGAGCGGCCGGCTGGCCTAGTCGCCGAGCGGGCGGGAGGTCCCCAGAGCCTGCGGGCTGCCGTGCGGAGAAGCTGCGGCCGGAGGGCCTCGTGGGGATCGCCTCGGTGCAGGGACAGGGCCTGGCCTCTGCCGCCAGGGTGAGGCGGGAACCAGGCTCTCGGGCCCTGGCCCGGTCGGCAGGGTGCTGAGCGGTGGCGGCTGGAATGGAGAATAAGGATCCGCGGTCGCTGCGGAGGTGGAGGCAGCGGGGTGCAGGCAGGTGCCGCAGGTGAATCCAGGGCATTTCCTCCTCTGGCGGACCGTGGCTGAGGTTTAGGGCTGCTTTGTTGGGGATAACTTATAGGAAGGCTTCATTCAGCTACGGAGTGACTAAACTCAAATAAAGCCAGCTAATGAGTCCCTAGTGCTGACTCTTACTTGTAAGAGCCGTAACTTTAAAGCATTGGAGATGCTGTCACGTCTTCCCCCTCCCCTTTTTGTGATTCCTAGGCCGTTTCCCTCCTGAAGAATGTGCTTGGAGAGAACGAATAAGAAATGACCCAGTTTTAAAAATGCTCCCCCCTCTCTCTTGCCCTCAAATTTCGTTGGTTTCACACGGCAAAATTTAGGGCTGTTATTGTAGTTACTTGAGCAAACGTGAGAGGTGTCATTTCCCCCCGTACTGAAAGCTCAACTTTCTGTGCGATTGTGTATAGAGAGGTCATGCACTGTAGCCTGAGCAGTTGACGTACGGAGACTACTTAATTGTCTGCAAACTCAGGTCCAGTTAACCCTAGAAATACGTCTTCCCGTCTATCTCCATGCTTCCAAGGAGAAGTAAGATAGGAAAGATCCTTAGGAGTAGTGTCCTGTTACCAGGTTTTCAGTAAATTTTTGATTTGATTTGATAATCATATTTATATACTAAACTATTTCAGATCTAGAACTCATTATATGACTTTACTGTTCAAAAAAGAATTGCAAAAGGAAACTTTTTTGTATCAGTCACTATAACCATAAAAAAACCGCTATATTTTCTGCTCTGTTCTCAATATTAATGTTAAAAAGTTGGCAAACTGCCTTTTTGATGTAAGACTGGGAACTTAGAAATCTCAGACATAATCTTAGATTTGTGCTCATGAACATGCCCTGCCTCTTACTGGATTGCTATGAATTGTTTTTTAGTTAGTGGCAAAAGGTTTTCTGCTGCTAAGTCCACTCCTTTGACTATGTACTATTTCTAAAGTAATGGATTGAGATTAAGAGGTCTAATCGTCTTTATTAACGGTTTTAGTGGAAATGATCCCATGTCATTTGAGTTTTGGCCAATAGTTCCTTACTTGGAGTATAATTGTTTATTTGAATAATAGAAAAGATGTGTCAGAAATGTTGATGTTTTGTATTTTAATAATTTACTCCTGTGCAATTTGTAAATGAGTGCATTCTGTTGGGAATAAATACAGCGTTTTGTAGTGTAAACTTGAGCTTGTAGCTGAAGAAACTTGTGGAAAAGTTGTGGGTGGAGACTATTCTTAAAAGCAAATGTTTTAAATTACAAGGAACTGCCATGTTGTGTAGGCTGTAACAATTCGGGATGGCAGATTTGGATGGTTATTTGGGCAGCAGATGTTTTTAAGGAAACATGTGAAGCGTCTATAGTAAGTGGCACTTTGTAACTTATGCAGGGAGGGTTCCCAGTGGTAAATAATGACACGGCACCTTTGCTCTTTTGTATATCGGCCAGTTAAGACTGAAGCATCTCGTATTTTCATTGGTGTTTCGTGCTGAGACAAATGCCACATTGGCTCTGCTGCTCAACTTTGAAAGTTGCGTCTTCGCCTTGTTCTTGAACCTTAAGTACAGGTTGTAAAGGGAAAAAGAAAGCAGCTGAGTCAGTGGCAGGTCGTCTCCCTCGTCAGACTGCTCTGATTTGAAAACAGAATGCCTGCTATAACTTGAATTTCTAGTAGAAAGTGCTTGCAGAAAATTAGGACGCAGGTTTTCATAATGCATGAATTAAAATGTTACCTTCTTTAGGTCTGTGCTGCACAAGCCATGCCTTCTTTCAGATTGTCAGTTTTATAGGTTTATATCGATGGGATGCCTTGGTGGGATGGGAAGTTTCTTTAGCAGTTAAACTTCGGGAAGCCAGGTGTGGTGTTGTATACTTGCAATCTCCCAGCACTTGGAAAGTGCAGGCAGGATGACTGTGAAGAAGTGAGGCCAGCCTTCCTACTCAGCATTCCAAAATAGAGCACCACAAAGAGAGTTGAAAATCAGGGAGGAATGTTGTGTATGATGCCTAGTAAAAGAGGTCTTTCAGCATCATGTAAGGAATTCCAAATTTTGATACTTTATTATTTAAGATTTATAATAGTATTTGTGGGAAGAAGGCCTTGAATTTTCTATAATCCTCCTGGTTTTGCCTTAGTGTGGGACTAAAGGCATGCCTACTTTTTTAGGGGAGGGGATGTCATACAAAGTCCTGGTATATAGTTTAGGTAAGTCTGGAACTTGCTGTGCTTGCTGTTGTCTTAAATGCTGGGAGAGGTAAATGCCTAGGTAACCTGGAACTCACTACACAGATGAGGATGACTCCTACTCCCAAGTGCAGGGCTTGCAGGTCATCCTCACTGGGGTCTGCTCAGACTTTCATTTTACCTCCAGTTGCTCTGTATTTCTTTTTTCTTTTCTTTTTTTTTCAAGTCCATTCATAAGTGTTTGCTAAGAAAGCTGGGGAGATACTTTATCTTTTCAAATTGGATGACTTTTATCTTTCCCTGTTTTACTGCTGCTGCTTGGATTACTGCTGTGGGGGATAGGCAGTATAATTCTCATTCATAACGTCTATATGTTACTATGATTTTTTAGGTTGATCTCAGAGCCTTATGAATAATGAGCATTCTCGTGACCACTAAGTCATACCTCCAGCTCACATATGTAGTTTAGACATTTAGCGGCTCTGCAGTAAAACCGGTAACAATAAATGGAATCAAATAGCAGGGCATGATGGCACATGCCTGTAATCCTAGTAGTTAGAAAGTGGCAACAGGAAGATCAAGACTAGCTTGAGCTTCAGAGTAAGGTTGAGGCCAGCCTGGCTAGTCAAGATCCTGTCTCAGAAAACAAAATAAGGGTCACTGAGACAGCTGAGCATGTAAGACACTTGTTACCACCCCTAATGACCTGAATGTGATCCCTAGGCCCCACATGGTAGGAGCAAGATGACTCCTGCAAGTTGTCTTTCGATCTTCATACATGTGCAATCCATGTGTTTCACCTATATACACAAGTAAATAAATAATAAAAAATTAGACAAATGAAAACAAACAAAAAAACCCAAAGCCCCAGGAGCAACAAAATACGGTTTTGGTGCATGCCTGTCATCCTAGTATTTGGGAGACTGAAGTGGGAGGATTATGAGTTCAAAGTCCATCTGGGCTATGTCTCAAAAAGACAGTAAGGAAAAGAAATTCAACAACAAAGGGAGAGGGTAGGTAAAAGAAGGAAAGGGAAGACAAAGCACAGAAAATACTTATGAAACTATAGTAGTAGATATGTGCACTATTCATTTGTTCAAAGCCATAGAATTAATACCACCAAGAAGGAGCCTGTATATTAAAGAGACTCTGGATGATAACACTGTGCAGACGAGCAGATTCTCCAGTTACTAACACAGCTGACACTCTGAAGGGGGTGTTTATAGTGGAGGTGGCTATGCAATGGTGAGATTATAAGGGAACTATAGTATGTGTAGTATAGTGTAGTGTAGTGTAGTATGTGTAGCCTTGGATTCCAGACCATCCTGCCTGCCACTGATTCTAGAGTGGTAGAATTACAGGTGTGTGCCACCATGCTGGCTCTTAATTTTTGTTGTTGTTGTTGTTGTTGTTGCTCTAGATTTCTCTCTGTTACCGTTGCTTGTATATGATACCTGAAGAGGTTGAAGGAATAGATTAGATCTGAAGGATGTGGTGCTGGGAACTCAATTTGAGTCATTTGGAAAAGTGGCAAGTATTAACTGTTGAGCCATCTCTCCAGCTTCTTTCTGCCACTTGCCCTTCCTGCTTCCTAATGGTTAAGTTTGTGTTTTTGTCTCTTTTTTTTTTTTTTTCTGGTTTGGTTCTTCGATACAAGGTTTCTCTGTATAGCCCTGGCTGTCCTGGAACTCACTCTGTAGATCAGGCTGGCCTCGAACTCAGAAATCCGCCTGCCTCCCGAGTGCTCTTTTTGTCTTAAAACCTTTATTTTTATTATTTTTGATCATGTATGTGTCTGTGTGTAGGTGTGTATATGTGAGTGTAGGTGCCTGCAGATGCCAGAGGAGTGTCCACCATCAAATTCATGTACTAGCTGTCCTCCTCCTTTCTGCTTCCCAAGTGATGGGCTGTATGCCCAGTTGTGTTCTGTATATTCGTTGTTCTAATACTTAACATTTTGGAGAGATCTGACCAATAAGCTTCTTTACTCATGGAGCTATCTCCTGATTCCCCTGTACTGTGCTTTAAAGTAGTGGTGCTTTAAGAAGTGGCTCAGGAGATAAGAACATTTGTTCTAGCAAAGGACCTGGGTTTGGTTCCCAACACCTACATGCAACCTCCAGTTCCAGGAGTTTGTCAGGTCTTCCAACACTTCTGACCTTGACAAATACTGGGTTGCATTTGGTATACATACATATATAGGGAGTAAGACCCAGACACATAAACAAATCTTTTTTTAAAAAGTAGTTATGAACAAAAATTGCCATTTGGCTCCCTGTAAAACATTTTGTTCTTATTTGTTTATTGAATGAGATTTTGCTGTATGTCCCAAGCTGTTCACAGTATGGCATAGATGGGCCTCAAATTCATTGCAGTTCTTTCTTTAGCCTCTTGAATGCCACGATTAGAAGTATGTACCACTAAACAAGCCCCACTTTCCTCTTGAATGAATAAACCT